CAGCAGTTTATCCATTCAGTAAATATTTATTCAGTGCTAGGTACTGTGAGGGAACTATGAATATATTTCCATTTAGAGAAATAGCAATGATGACACCAAAACAAAGCAAAAAAACTGAGTATTCTGCTTTTTTTGTGTGTGTGTGCACGTACAGTTAGCAACCAGGAATTATTTAATGTCTGAAATCCCTCAATGTGCTTTACCATTTTAGTCTAGTGAACCTAAATTGTGAACATATCATGGTCTTTACCATATAATATGTCATCGATTCAGGATATTCTCTGCCACCTTCCATCTTTTACTCTATTTTGGGCCAAAAATTAATTCCAGGACTTCATTGAGAAGATTGGAATGGCATTGCCACTGTAGGACTAATGTAATACTAAAGAAAACAAATCTTATTTAACATTCTCAGAGGAAGCTTTTTCCTTTGTTAGAACAGCATGCTCTACTAGACAGTTTTCCATGCAGGGTCAGTTTTATTTTATGTACAGTTTCCTTGGATTTGAAATTCTGTTTTCTTTAAAACACCTCCAATAATCAACGAGACATACCTGTGGTAGTTAAGATTGTGTGTCAACTTGGCTGGGTCTGGTTGAGTGGCTGGGCAGCTGGATGTAGTATTTCCCATGATGAGACTGGTAATCAACTCCATGGTGGAATCTCCTGTGAGCAGCTGAGTAGCTGCCTTTGGGTATGTGCTCTCCTTCCCATATATAAGAAACAGCTATGGGAATGGTCTGTAGCTTATGACATGCTTGAACCCTGCATGTAGCCATCTCGTTGTTCAGCAGTCTGCCATGCTTTGCCAACTTTGGGACATTCAGTGGACTTGAATAAATGGCTTGCCATGTGGTTTGGTAATATCAGGACTGTGCCAATTTACTTGTCAACTTTGGGCTTGTTAGCCTCAGCAGCCAGTAGCTGCCAGAGTGGAGAGATGCCTCTAGCTTCAGTGGGCTGGGAGCTAACAGCAGAGTTGAAACCCTAGGTTGAGGGGCTTTCACACAGCCCCTAGAACCTGGCACTTTGAACTCAGACATCTAGCCTCCCGAACTATGAGAGAATAAACTCCTGTTTGTTCAGCCATCTCCTTTGTGGTATATTCTTATCAGAGCAGCAGTAGGTAACCAGAAAAGTACCTTTTTGGGAGAGAATCAAAACAGATGTATGAAATGTAGGGAAAAATCTCCAAGCATGTTTTTAATGTAATTTCCTTATTAAACTTATTAGTGCTGCTGAGTGGTAACAAATTTGTCTCATTTATGTTTTGCCTCTTCTCCTTCCTGTCCTGATTATATAAAGTACTCGCTTGACTCATTGTGTAGTACATAGTGGGTTTATAGTTGTAGTGGTTAAGTGCCATTGAGTTGGCTTCAACTCATAGCAACCCTATGTACAGCAGAGCGAAACACTGCCCAGACCTGTGCCATCCTCACAATCCTTGCTATGTTTGAGCCCATATCATTGCAGCCACTATGTCAATCCATCTCATTGAGGGTCTTCCCCTTTTCCTCTGACCCTCGATTTTACCAAGAATGACATCCTTCTCCAGGGATGGTCACTTTTGACAACATGACCAATGTAAGTAAGACAAAGTCTGGCCATTCTTGCTTCTAAGGAGCATTCTGGCTACACTTCTCCCAGGACAGATTTGCTCATTCTTCTGGCAGTCCAAGATATTTTCAGTACTCTTCTCTAACACCAAAATTCAAAGGCATCAATTCTTCTCAGTCTTCCATATTCATTGCCCAGCTTTCACATGCATATGAGGTGATTGAAAATACCAAGGCTTGGGTTAGGTGTACTTTAGTCTTCAAAGTGACATTTTTGTTTAACACTTTATTAAGGTCTTTTGCAGCAGATTTACCCAATGCAATATGATGTCTGATTTCTTGAGTGCTGCTTAATGGATATCACATAGCTGTTGTTGTTGTTAGGTGCCGTCGAGTTGGCTCTGACTCACAGCAACCCTATATACAATAGAATGAAACACTGCCCAGTCCTACACCAGCCTCAAAATCCTTGCTATACCTGAGCCCATCGTTGCAGCCATTGTGTCAGTCCATCTCATTGAGGGCCTTCCTCTTTTCACTGACCCTCCACTTGGTTGTTGTTGTTGTTATGTGCTGTTGAGTTGGACCTGACTCACAGCGACCCCTCCTTGGGTTTCTGAGGCAGTATCACTATGGAAGCAGATTGCCCCATCTTCCTTCCAAGCAGTGACTGATGGGTTTGAACTGCCAGCCTTCTGGTTAGCAGTCAAGCACCTTAGGCACTTCACTTTACCAAGCATGAAATCCTTCTCCATAGAATGGTCCCTTCTGACAACATGACCAAAGTAAGTGAGACAAAGTCTGGCATTCTTGTTTCCAAGGAGCATTCTATATACCCTTCTTCCAGGACAGATTTGTTTGTTCCTTTGGTAGTTCATGGTACTTTCATTATTCTTCACCAACACCACAATTCAAAAGCATCAACTCTTTTTTGGCCTTCCTTGTTCATTGTCCAGCTCTCACAGGTATATGAAGCAATTGAAAAATACCATAGGTTGGACCATAGTCTTCAAGGAAACATCTTTGTTCTTGTGTACTTTAAAGAGGTCTTTTGCAGGTGATTTTCCCAATGTAATACATCATCTGATGTCTTGACTGCTGCTTCCAGCAGTCTACTTGGTATTGATTGTAGAACCAAGTAATATGAAATCTTTGACAACTTCAATCTTTTTTCCATTTATTGTGATGCTGCTCCATTTATTGTGATGATCCTTACTCAGTTGTGAGGGTTTTCATTTCCTTTATGTTGAGATGTAATCCATACTGCAGCTGAAGTCTTTAATCTTCATCAGTAAGTGCTTCAAGTCATCCTCAATTTCAACAAGCAAAGTTGTGTCATCTGTGTATCACAGGTTGTTAATGAGTCTTAGTTCCCAAATAAGCAGGTGTTGATTTTAATGAAAAATATATTTCAAGTTCAAAAATATTAATATATTTTTCTTCACTACAACATTATGAAATCAAAATTATAGTATGTCATATAATAGATTTATGGACTTTTGATATCTGAAAATGTTATGCCACTTCAGGGTACTGTGTTCAGTAGATAATGCAAAATCTGTTTTGAATAATCAGAATTTAAAACATTGCTAAAATATATGGTCAATAAAATATAATTACTATACAGTTTCAAAATTAGCATGTAATACTATCTTCCAGTTAAGAGAAATTCACATTTAGACTATCTATACTTGAACTTAGAATATTAACAAAGGAAAACAAACAAAAGAAGAAGTATCTGATTTTTCTCTTTCTTTTTTTATTTTTAAGAACAAGAAATTTATTAATCTGGTACATCAATTTCTTGGGGCTGTTGTAACAAAATACTACAAAGTGGATGGTTTTAAACAACAGAAATATATTGCCTCATGGTTCTGGAGACCAATCCTAAAAAACACATAGCTTGGGGAAATCCTTTCCAGTTTCTGATAGACCTTGGCGTTCCTTGAATTATAGATGGTTTAGATGCATTTTCACGTGACTCTCCTTCCTTTTTCTAACTCTTTCTGTCTTTTCTCCTCTTTTTTTTTAATATCCTTTTTTTATTAACCAAATATAAAAATGCAACAAAGAAGCCCAGAGTAATGCATTCTTAATGATTATACTGCTACCAAATGCAGAGAGCCCAAATGCAAGGGTTTATAGTTCTCAAGCCAGAGGTCTTTCAATTATGCAAGGTAAGATATTCTAAGATCCTTTTGGTGTAAGCGAAACCATTTTTATAATTAATTAATACTAACTAATATTCACACATTACTAGACTACTTTTTTTAAAATTTTTTAAACAAATGTCCTTTTTTCTGGTCCAGGATCATCCCAGACACATTATCTTTAGTTGTTGTACCTCCTTAGGCTCTCTGGGATGTGACAGTTTCTTAGACTTTCTTTGCTCTGGGTAACTTTGACAGTTTTGAGGAGTGCTGGTTGGCTATTTTGCAGACTGTCCCTCAGTTGGGATTTGTCTGTTTTTCTTATGATCAGACTGGACTAAGGGTTTTTGGAAGATGACTGACTGAGGTCAAGTGCCATTCTCATTACATCCTATCAAGGGTAGAGACCATCAACATGATTTATCAGTGATGCCATTAGCTCTGAGCACCTGGCTGAGGTAGTGTTTGTCAGGTGTCCATTGTAAGGTTACTCTCTCCACCCCCTTTCCATACTGTCCTCTTTGGAAGGAATCACTAGGTGAAGCCGACGCTTAAGGGTGGAGGAGTTACGCCCACTTCCTTGAGTGCAGAGTAGCTATATAAATTTGGAATTCTGTCCAGGAGATATCTCTTCTCCTTTATTTATTTATTTATTCTATGCCACTCCTCGGAATGAAGATGGGGCAATCTACTTCCGTAGTGATACTGCCTCGGAAACCCAAGGAGGGGTCACTATGAGTCGGGTCCGACTTGACGGCACACAACAACAACAACATAATTTATTTATATCAGTAGAGTCTCTGGACATTTATTTTGTATTTGGGTTATAATCCAATATTACTTCATTTATTTTGTTGCAGAAATTGTTCCATCTTTAAACCCTGTGGATTATTTTGGTTAACCCTCTGCCTCTCTGACATTATCCCCAATCATTGGGACCTTTTTTTTGAGCACTTCTTCCTTACTGTATGCTCTTGGCCATCTTTTTTATTTCCTATCCCAGTCCTAGAATCTGGGTGCTACATATGCTCCCATACTGGTTATTTTCTAACCATATAACTGCTAATAATGATGCTTCACTCTTCTTGCACTGATGATATGAACTGGCAACTTGAGCAGAAGAACTCAGTTCTGAAGAACAGCAAATCCTTATAATACTTTTTCTTTCAAAGAATAGATAAACCTAAGCTAAAAAATATATGAAAGACTTGTCACTACAAATTAAGTTTAGACAAACCATCTGGTTTGCCGTATTGTAACTCTACATGGTTACAATAGAACTGCAGAAGGATCCTTAGAACAACAGAGTCATCTGTTGGGGGTCATCAGGGAGAATACTGATCGTATCTTTTGCTTTGCCACATAACAGACGCAGCATGGGATACTCCTGAAATTCATCCATGACACTGAATGTATATTCATGTCTGCAACTACGTGATGACAATTCTCACACATGATCATAGGTAACTATTTCTTCTACACCTTCTTCTCTGAAGGATTTGTTTGTGATCATCGTAAAATCCTGTTTACTGCACACAGCACAGCCTGTAAAGTTCAGCAAGAAAGATCCATTCTCCAAGCAGGTGTTACCCCAGGTGGAATATTCCTTCTCCACACAGTCCCCACACATCACAACGCCGCTAACAGGGAATGTCTTCCACCGGTTCCTGGAGGATGAAACCTCCTCTTCTCCTCTTTTATAATGACACCTCTCAGATTAGATTATGATTCCCTCCATTCCAGTATGACCTCATGTTAACTGATAATATCTTTAAGGACATTACATCCCAACAAAGTCATATTCATTGGTGTTGAGACTTCAACATATATTTTTAAGGGACACAAATCTTTGTGTGTGTGTGTGTGTGTGTGTGATTTGGATGAAAGTTTATAGAATAAATTCATTTACCATACAGAAATTCACATATACTTTGTGTCATAATATTGATTGCAATTTCCCACAATGTAACAGCTCTCTTCCCACTTCCTCTCCATAGTCACCTCTTCCCTCTGTCCTTCCCTCCCATGTACTTCTGCACCCCCCAGCTGTCTCCCTGTGCATACACAGCCTTTCTATTCTCCCATGATTGATCTGTCCAAGGAGAGTATCTATGTAATCCAAATGTTCAGCTCATATGCCTGTCTTTTGTTCATCTGGAAGCCACAGGAGTGGATTCAATTCCAGACCTGAAGAGCAGCTAGGGGCCATAGTCTCAGGGGTTTCATCAGACTCTATCAGTCCAGCAAAGTTGGTCTTTTTTTTTTTTTTTATGATTTTGACTTTTTGTTCCACATTGTTTTCCCATCTATCCAGGATCTCCTACATAGATCTCCCTCTGAGTGTTTGACAGTGGTAGCCAGGCACCTTTTAGTTCTTCTGATCTCATAGTCATCATACAGGCTGAGGATCACATGGTGTACTAGTCCCTTGGACTAATTGTTTCCATGTGTCTTTTGTTTTCTTCATTCTTCTTTGCTCTGGACGAGGGGAGACATATCTCTGCATCTAGATGGCCACTTGCAAGTATTTTTTTTTTTTAAATGTGATTTGGGTGAAAGTTTACACAACAAATTCACTTTCCATACAACAGTTCACATACACTTTGTCTCATGACATTGGCTACAATTTACCCCAATGCAACAGCTCCCCTGCCACTTTGTCTCAATAGTTACCTCTTCCCTGTGTCCTTCCCTCCATGCACTGCTGCCCCCTGAGCTGTCTCCCTGTGCATAAACAGCCCTTCTTTCTCCCACGATTGATCTTTCCAAGGAGAGTGTTTACCTCAGGTAAATGTTCAGCTCATATGCCTATCTTTTGTTTGGCTGGAAGACCCAGTTGTGGGTTCAATTCCAGACCTGAAGGGCAGTTAGGGGCCATAGTCTCAGTGGTTCCACCAGGCTCTATCAGACCAGCAAACCTGCCCCCCCCCCTTTTTCCCCCAACTGATTTTGAGTTTTGTTCCACATTGTTTTTCCTCTCTATCCAGGATCTCCTACATAGATCCCCCTCCAAGTGGTT